TTCGTGCGTGCGAAAGCCAGACGGCCCTGGGCCCCATCCCCCCCCAGAGACGAACTTTTCAGCTTGAACTTGGCTTCTACACGCTTGTGAGCCATTTATCTAAGATAAATTTCTCTCTCTCTCTCTTTCTCTCTCTATAAATATATATATATATACTTTGCTGGCTTTTGTGTTTCTCTAGAGAACCCAATCCAACACACTCATGAATAAATAAATGTATATAACACAAGTACGAAAACACTCAAGAACACAAATGTGTGTGCACAACACATGTTCACATACAAATGGGTGTATGCATGCATTCATACACATGAACATGTACACAAAGACATGTATGTGAACATGCGTATCCAAAAATACATGTATCAACACATACATGCACACACCTAAACACCCATACACATACAAGTATGCACAAACACAATGTAAAAAGGCATACACACACATGTGAACATACAAACACACACCCATATGAACACACACATATGCACACAAACAAGTAAGCGCACACACACATACTTAGCTAATTTCTCCAAAGCAGTTACTCCTTGAGCAGAGAAATCAGGAGTGGGGATCTCTCAGGATGAACAGGACAATGGTTTCTGAAACTCTCTTGGCTGCAATCAACCTCCTCCTCCAGCCAATCCCCCACAGATCTTTCTATTACCCACAATGGGAGTCTCAGCCCCTTGCTGAGGTTCAGGCCAAACCCAACTGACCACAGCAGGTGAAAACTGCTCCCACTGCAATTTCTCAATTAACAGCTGACTAGCCACAAACAAAGTGTCAAATTCTCCAAAGGCTTCACAATCAGAATAAAACCCCAAACAGCTCATCCAGCCTACAAAGTGACCATGCCGACCTCTCAACCCACCTCTTAGCACTCTTTCTCCCCTCTCACTGCTCCAGCTGCACTGGCTCTCTCTGCCCTCCATGACAGCTCTTGGCTCAGGGCCTTTGCACTTGCCATCCCCTAGGTATGTGCTCAGCTCACCACCTCACTCCTTTAGGTCTCTGTTCAAATGTGGTTTCCTTAGGGAAGATCTCCTGATCGCTCTCATTGTAAACTGCACACATCCCCCAACCATTGCTATTTCCTTCCCTGCATTTATCTTTGCAGCATTTTCCACCACCTGCCATATACTTAGGAGTCCCTGGGTGGTGTAAACAGATAATGCACTTCACTGCTAACTGAAAGGCTGGAGGGTCAAGTCCACCCATAGGTACCTCAGAAGAAAGGCCTGGTAACCTACTTCTGAAAAATCAGCCACTGAAACCTTGTGAAGCACAGTTCTATCGACACCAGTTCACTCAACAGCAACTGGCTTAGGTTTTGGTGTTTTGACATATACTTGGTTCCTCGGTTACCTAATGTCTCCTGCACATCAACGAATGCCTCAAGTGAGCAGAGACTCTGCTCTCCTCATATAGCTCCAGTGCCCAGACTGGTCCACGGCACATAGTATTCACAGACCGTTGTGGGAAGGAGGGGAGGAGAGAGGAAGAAATGCAGGAAAAGTGAGAAGGGGGATAAAAAGGAGGGAAGGAAGAAGGCAGGAAAAGAAAGTAAGTAGGGAAGCAGGCCACAAAGAGGGCAAGGGAGGAAAGAACTGAGGGCAATAAGGATTGTGTTCCCTTTGAGTCCACCAACAGGAAGAGTAACCATGCCACCAAGCTCACTGACATCCTTGAATTGATACAGGATTCCCCTCAAGCTGAAAGAGCAGACCCAGGGTCTCACACTCAAATCCCTCAGGCATGTACCATAAGAGGAAAGCAAGGTGGCATAATACAACAGGAAGTGGTAGGTAGTGTGGTGAATGAGGGCAACTCTCCTCAGCTCTGGCCAAGTGCTGCCATGTGGGATTATGGCTCTAAAGCTACCAGAACTTCTCCTTTTCTAGAAAACATGGACAGTGAGAATTTATGTACAATTTCCAGATCTCTAAATGTTTGCTCATATTTTCTTAAATCACCATCTCAACCAAATGAGATACACTGAGAGTCCTGCAAAACACAGTAGTTTGCAACTATGGAGCAGATTCTCTCCTTAAACCCCACGAGACACATCTAAGCCTGAGTTTTATTATGTGTAAAGGAAATCCTGGAATGATAGGATGAGATCCTGAATGGATGATACTGGCTCAGAGTAAGTATCCAGTGAATGTCAGCTAGCACTGTATAATATTTTCCACACACTACCCACACACACACTCACACACTCACACAACACACTCAAGGACATATTTTGTGGTCACACTTACAGGGTCATTGACGGTCTCAGAGAACAGAGGCGAGCGGTCTGAGAAACAAGATAACACAAGCTGAACCAGCACAAGGGAGAAGTAAATGTAGAAAGTGATGTCACGAAATATATCCACTCGGGCATCCTAAACATGAGGGAAAGAAAGAGAATAAAACAGTGACTTTCTGGAAGCAGCTTGCAGAAGCCAGGAGAGCAGGATGCAGAAGTACCAGTGACAAGCTTTATCTCCCCATCCTAGCCCCGGGAAGAAAGACAATCATATCACGGTGGGACCCCTTGGCTCACTACCAGCTGGTGAGGGAGCTAAGCATGGTGGGAGGGAGCCTGGGTCTGGAAGTGATGGACCCACGTTCAAAGCCTGGCTCTGCTCTTACTAGCTGTGGGACCTTGTCAACTAACTTTATTGTTCTATGCTTCAGCTTCCTCATCTATAAGCAGACATATCTCATAGACCAGTGGTTCTGAACTGGGGGCAATTTTGCCTCCTAGAAGATATCTGGCAATAGTGTCTGGAGACATTTTTGGTTGTCATAACTGGAGGAGGGCGGGAATTCTACTGGCATCTAGTAGAGTTCAGGGATGCTACTAAATATCCAACAATGCTCAGGACAGACCTTCACAGCAAAGATTACACAGCCCAAATGTCAACAGTGACTGACTGTGATACTTTCAAGTAACTGTCAAAAGCCAATAAAGTTATTCATAAAAATACTTAGCTCCCTGCCTGGTATTCTGTAAATATGAGCTCAGTGAATGTTAGCTGCCATCACTATTCAAGGAGCTACTGAGAGACAGTCTCTGCTGCAGACAATAATGTCTACAGCGTGGACAATATGCTGTAAGCACTCAATAAATGTTCAGTTTCTCTTCCTCCTTTTGCCTACTGACTTAGCACAAAGATGGCAGGGAACAACAGAAGGACTAATTCCAAATGTGCACACTCTTCAAAATTGCCAGGAGCAGCATGTGGTGGCCAATGTAATCAAGGTCTCCAGCCAGAGGAATAGCAGATGGCACAAAAGTAACGTGGCTACAAATCTAGGCCCCCTGGGAGAACAGCCACATCAAAAACACTGTTCTCCCTGGGCTCTGTTCCAGACTAAAGGTGCTTGCTGTTTACTGCTGACAGAGGTTCAGAGTGTGGTGCGACATTTGTCCCTCTCTTCAAAGGACCCACATGGACCCTTGGAGCAACAGAAACAAGGGGGGTTCCTGATGAAAGAAAGTTCTAGAACAAGGGCTGGAGCTGCCTTCATGATGATCTGGCAATATAGGAAACTCCCCAGGGAAGAAACCAGCCCCGTGTGCGTTCTATACTGTGGTTCCACCCATTGGTTCCAGTGGCAATGAATGATTTCTACACATGTGAAAAGGAACACATGTCTTCCCCAAGGATCACTTGAAGGGAGATACTGAATGAGACCACCACTTACCTCTTTTAAGGCAGCCATGATTTTGGATCTCAAGATGGCAGCAGCACACAATAGGGCTACAAGCCAGAAAGTAAGCATGATTCCTGAAGAGTGGATTCCTTTCCTTCTCTCAAGCTGAATTATGAAGGTAGCAAGCAGCTGGAATAGAGAAGCATACAACCAGAAGTCGTTAGAAGAAGACAAGAATCCCAAAGCCCTCATGGTCCCAGGGGCTGCACTAGTTTAAGACCTGCCCCAGAAAGTTTGGCCTCACCTATCTGGATGACCCAGGGCAAGTCAGAGAATCTCTCTGAGCCTCCATTGCAAAATGGAAGTGATACCACTATCTCAGGAGTTGTAGGAATTTAAGAAGGCTGTGTATAAATCTGATAAATAATAGAAAAGTCAGGAGACAGCTAAGTTTAGTAAAGGGTTCAGCACATTTTTTCTTAAAGGACCAAAGAGTAAATACTGTAGACTCTGCAGGCCATACAGCTCTGCTGCAACTACTCAGCTCTCTCTGCCCTTGTAGTGTAAAAGCATTCAAACATGGTATGCAATTCAAAGGGCATGGCTGTGTGCCGATAAAACTTTATTTATAAAACTAGGCAGCCTCAAGACCTTGGTCGTGGAAGACATCAAGCTCCATTTGCAATGCCTCCATAACATACTACACAAAAACACTGTTCTACATCCCACTTTGGTGAACAGCGACTGGGGTCTTAAAAGCTTGCAAGCAGATTCCCATCTTTTTCTTTCTTGTGGCTCGCACCAACTGTTGTTTTTTCTTTTTATGTTTTTCCCATCTTTTTCATCATTATTCTTCTACTCTACCTCTATTCTCTTATCTGCACACACCCCCCCCCGATATTGCAGCGTTGTTTTTTGTTTTTCCCTATTCTTTTTTTTTTCTATGCATATTTCTTTTGGCTTTCTAAAGTATTTCTTTAAATATTTTCTCTCATTGATGGCATTTCTTTTCTGTTGTTGTGTTTTGTCTGCTTGCTCTTACTTTTTATATGGTTTTTCGGCTGTTGTTTTTGTCTAACTGAGCAGGAGACAGCAACTGAGCCCATACAACACACCTCCTGCAGCTCCACTTACTGAGTAAGAGCCATCACTTCCTTCTGCACCAATCAGCCAATGATACACAACCACCAATAAGAGAATGACTTATTATTAAGAGCTCTTCACAAACAGTTAACAGAGATCTATGCAGCTACTCTCATTCCATGTCATATCCACCAGGAGACAGGTGATGAGTACATAAGTGCTGCCAACTAGTGAATACAGGAGCAGAGTATCCTGCTTACTCAGATGCGTTCCTCCCCCCCACCCCCCACCAAAAAAAGAAGAAAACAAAAATCCTGGGCAAATCACTCCAACATACAATCACAAATTAAATATACGTATAAGAAAGTCACAATATCTTAGAGGAAAAAGACCACCAAAGTCCACATAAAGCAGCAAGATAAAGCAGAAGAAGCAAGGGAGCAGGATAAAGACCCAGAACACATCCTTGAGGAAGAACCAGCCTTGGAATTCTCTGATAAGGAATTAAAAAGAATTACATTTAGGTACCTGCAACAGACTGAGAGACAGTTCAAGGAAAACACTGACAAAATTAAGCAAAACACAGAAAAAACCTAAACAATTTCAGAAGAAAATACAAAAACATGACAGAATAAATGAAAAATTCGAAATGACACAAAATCTACAGATAGAAATCCAGAAGATTAATACTACATTTTCAGAAATAGTTAACACACTGAAAAGGCAAAGGAGTAGAATCAAATCAATCGAATACAAAATTATTGAGATTGAAGACAAATGCCTGAATGCATCTTTGGAAAAGAATCAATCAGAAAAAAGATCAAAACAAAATGAGAAAACCTAAGATTCATGTGGGATACCATCAAAAGGAATAACCTAAGTGTCAGTGGAATTCCAGAACAGGAAGAGAAAAAGAAAACCACTGAGAAAATTGTCCAAGACTTGTTGGAAGAGAACTTCCCTAATATAATGAAAGATGAGAATATATCCACTCAGAAGTCCAACAAACCCCAAACAGGATAGATCCCAAAAGAAAATCACCAAGACATACCACCATCAAACTCATCAAAACCAAAGACAAAGAAAGAACTCTGAAAGCAGCACAGGAAAAACAAAAAGTTACCTACACAGGGCAACCAGTAAGACTAAGCTCTGATTTCTCAGCAGAAACCATGCAGGTGAGAAGGCAACAGGACAGTATATATAAAACCCTGAAAGAGAAAACTTTCCAACCCAGAATTATATACACACCAAAACTGCCCGTCAAATAAGATGGTGAAATTAGGAGATTTCCAGATAAGCAGAAATTAAGGGAATTTGTTAAAACCAGAGCAATCTTACAACTGGTACAAAAGCGAGTCCTTTGAACACAGAACCAATAATACCAAACAACAATTAACCATTAAAACACATGATAGCATAACCCAGAAATCAACACAACTATGAAGTACCCAAAATAAAATAAGCTTACAAGATTGTAAACAGGGAACCACAGACATCAATTGGCAAATGAGGACAACTACAAAACAAAAAGAGGGAAAAAACTGTGTAGTTACAGAACTTCTAAATGTCAAGAGAGTTGCAAGATAGAATGGACTGTTCTAAACTC